ACTCTAGCCTCTGTGTCAGTTAGTTCATAAATTAGGCTGTACTTTCTGGTTGTCACTGAGTTGTGACTATTTTGTATCTGCTTATTGGGCCCCAAGCAGAGGCTTGGTTTAGCCCCAGTAGCTCCTGCCAGTTCTCTTTGAATCAGAAGCAGCTGGGTAATGGCACAGGATTCTGCCCAGGTCCCAGCCGTTCTCTTCCAAACCTCTCTGTGATAGGTGCACCAGAAAAGCAGATCTGCCCAAAACAAAGATGGCTCCCACTAAGTTCTCTGTGTGGAGCTGAAGCCAACAAGTAATCAGGCTCTGCCAGGACTTAAGATGTCTTCCACCAGCCCTCCCTACAGGGCGACCTGGTGATGTCACTAAGCTGCGATATCTGCCGCCAGGCTAATATGTCTGCACCAGATTCTGTGTTATTGATTTCCCCGTGGTGGCGGGCCAGCTGTTCTCTGGTCAAACCCAGCAGCGGCGGGGTTTTCTGTACTCACCAGGGTCCGGTGCAAGTCCTCGTTCCGGGACTGCCGCACACCAAGCTGTCCACTTTTCCTCCACTCGCGGCTCAGCGCTGACTGGTCAGATTTCTGTGCACCGTTTAGATATGAATCGCCAGAGCTTTGTACATCCGCTCTGGTGCAGCGGTGCAGAACTGGCTGCTACTTGGAGTCTCGATCTGGGTCTCAGTTTCCCGCGGTCTCCAAAAGCAACTCAGCTTTTCGTGCTGGGTCCACGAGTCTTTGTTGATTTAAGGGCGCGGGATTTGTAGCCTCCGGTCTCAGCACGACTTTAAATCCTCCAGTTGTACTGTCTTGGTTAATAAGAATCGCTATCGATTTGTCTGGTCCTCTCCATGCTGTCTTTTTTTATTTTTGAGTTTGAATTCTCTGGAGAGATTCTTCGCTCGATCCCCTAGCTCGCCGCCATTTTCCCCAGCCCTGTCCTTGCTGTTCAATGGGTAATGGAGGAGGCTAGGAGCATGAACTCACTGTCTTCCAGCTGGCTTCCCTGCCCAGAATGTAATGGAGGGGTGCAGAGTGTGAACTCACTGTCTTCCAGCTGGCCTTGCCATCAGAGATGTAATGACTGCAAGAATTTGTGACAGAAGTTAAAAATCAACAGCCTGATGCTCTGTTAAGACAAGATATGCTCACTCAGCCCACCACATAATCAGACCATTAGACTCAGTTAGCCTTGAATGGTGATGTCAGCTACAATTTGAGATATCCAACCTGATTCAGTCTGACCACATCCACACGGACTGCCTGTACTATCTCACATATAAATATATTTTATTTTCAAAGACTGTCTAACTGAGATAAGCTAGTCAAGGACATGCTTAGTTTCAACCACTCCATTGGCTGAAGGTCACTCCCTATTTCTCTTATCTTGTGACTCCTCTGACCATTTGCCTAGAACAAACCTGCCTAGTCACATAAAACTTGATTCATGTAACCAATTATGTGATAACCTGCTGTCAGCTTTTGTATTTCCTGCTTACAAAATGTACATATATTTCGGGTTCACTTTCAGTTAGAGCTGGTAATTTTGATTTAGTTCCACCAGCCTGCTAGCATAATAAACAGTTGCCTTCCAACTTCTCAGAGCAAAGGCTCCTCCATTTGGTTTGCTAACTGATTTCTGCAACAAAGTCACATCTCATCCCATGCCACTGCCAGGAAGTAGGGCCTTTCACACTGCTGGGCAATGTGTTTAGATTTTTTCATGGAACTTGGTCTCTGCAGGCCAAGAAAGAGAGATAGATTCACTCAGCACTCTGGGCCCTTAACCTGTGGCAGTGCTGTCACAGGAGGGAGAGGAAGAGCAGCTACAGGGGATGTGGTGTCAGTAATTTGGTCACTGGATCACATAGTAGGATGAGTCTCAGGTAGCTCTGCTCCCTCCAACCACTGAGAGAATACCTTCAGTATCTTATGTTGCTGCAGTCCCTTCTTGCTCTAGAGAATTCATTTCTTTTTAATAATCTGCCATGTTTACTTTATCCTACATGGAGGTGAGCATTATGTTGCTAAAACCTTTGGGGAAGTGGAACCATATAATTCTATTGTAAGATACTTGTTTCAGAGGTCTAACTGTATCATAATTTTAAATTTTATACTGAAGTGTTTTCTTCTGCAAAATATCAGTGCTACAGATCTCTTTAGTTTTTCTGTTGTGACACTGTCAACATGTTCTACTAGGATAAGCAAAGCAAATGGCTTCTCTTTTTCATTCTTTTCCCTCGAGACCTCTTCACTTTTTGGCCATCTCTTCTCAATCTTCTGGGTCCCATCTCTCAGTCTGCAGTTCACTGTGTTCATTAGTGAAGCTTGGGACCAGTGGCAGCTGCAGGCAGTGAGCAGCACGAGTGGTGAGGAAGAGATGACGAGGAAGAGGCAGGTCTGCTTATCTCTAGCTACAGTTGCTAGTCTTTGGTACACTTGCGTGGTCTATCTGGGTGTGGTTTTGCCAACAGAATCACAGACTCTTCTCAAATTTTTCAGGGACACTTCTTCTGTGATTATTTTGAGCTGTGATTATTTGTTGGTAAGTCATGGCCACAATGGCAAGTATAGAGTGCTGTCCTAGACACTTCATCCATGTTATTTAACTCCTCTTGGCTGCAGCTTTTTTGTCCACAAAATAGAAAAAAGTGTATTGTTCATCCATTAGTGAGCAGTTTTTTTTTTCCTAGAGGACATTGGTTCTTTCGTGTTGTGAGCTCTTAATGAATGGATCAGAAAGCACAAGTCCCTCAGCGGGGCTGTGGTTTCCTCTGCTGGAGTGTTCTAGGTCTCTCTTCCTGCCATGTATCTTTCCCTGGAAGTCATTCTGAGTAAAGCCATAGAGACAGCTGTAATATACCCCATCATGGTGGTACATTATAGAGAATGAATACAGCATATGTTCAGGTCCATCTCGGGCACATCAGGTTGCTGGCCCCACTGAATTAGGCTGGTATTTGGTAGCTTTGAATCAGTGTTTATGATTGATACCCCATGACTTATCAATGACTAATGTGCCACATATCTCTTTGTATTGTCTGATGACTCACCTAAGAGCTCACAGTTTCTAAGGATTGAAAATTATGCACATCTAAAAGGCAGCATTAATATTATTTCTTTGAATGTGCTTCCATGAGCCAACAAAGAGAGATAAAGAACACAAGCCTAGATAACGAGACAAAATTTCAGGGAAGTCATTAAAGGATGCATTCTGTACATCTATATATACACTGACCTTATTTTTATGAATCAAATTCTCTAATTTATGAAGAAATTTCAAATGCATTTAATATAACAATCTAGTCTAGTCAGTTATTCTCTTACAGAGAAGAAGGCTAAGCTTCAGAAAGAATAAACAATTTGCCTTAGGTCTGACAGTTAATAGAATATGGTGACCTAACCCAAGTTTATATGTTTTCTCAATCACATACAAGCATTGTACACACGTATGTACATGGTATATATCGACATATGAGGTAAGGCGCAACCACAAATATTCAACTTGTTAAAACATCCTGGGAGGGTTGATGTGCTTATCAGGGCTGCTTCTTCCTGACTTCAGAGGTCTAGGTTCTTTCTGTCCAGATGTTGATCATAATACCTGGAGGGATCATGATACCTGGAAGGATGACAGAAAGATTGAAATAATATAATTATGAACACAAATGCTAGTATATGTGTTGGTATATATATAGATAATTCTGCATTTCCGTTTCGATTTCATTCCAGAAGTGGCACAAATACACAACCAGGGAAAAGGTCTCAGTGGAGTCCAAACTGTTTTCTCTTTTCCCAGACACTATTAATTTTCTTCTGAATTCCCATGCTATTCATGTTTCATGTGCCAAATACCATACCTCTCCATAGTAACGTCCTTGGTTTGTCACTAGCTGTATGTTTTTACTTAAGTTAATGTCTTTGAGTCTCAGTTTCCTTATCTCTAAAATGATAGTCATAATAATGGTAGGATTATGTCATAAGTCACAAGATTGTAGTAAGCATTAATCATATTTATTAGTAGAACGGTGCTAACCAACAAACAATGATAGATGTAAATGAAACAATCAATAAATGCTACCCACTTGTATCATGCTCCATTGTTCTGACTGCTGTCATTAATAGTGTTCTTTGAGGACTTGTTTTCAGTTGTTTTTATCCAATGGATTTCCAAGGTGGTCAGCTTCCCCCTACTGTGCCCTGCATACTATTGGAGCCTGACTGTGGTCCAGGAAGGTAGCTTTTTAATCTGAATAGTTTTCTTGATGGTTACAATCACTGCTGCTCTAGAAAAGAGTATGAAACGCTTTGGGGATGGAGAAAGTTAAGATTCACACTGCAGAGGCTACTGCACTATCTAGAACTGCAAACACTGTATCAGGGCAGCTCCTGACAAAAAGGATAGGTATTTGCTTTTTCCAATCTTGAGATAACTTAGGGGACATTCTTCGGGATAGGCTCTGGAACTGGTTGACGGCTTCTCATCTCAGCTCTGCTATTTGGTTTCTATCTGACCAGGATTAATTATATAACCTCATTGGTCCTCAGTTTTCTTATCTGTGAAATAGTCATAATACATATATTACATGGTTATTGTGAGGATTAAATAATTTATGAATGTAAAGTAATTAAATGCATGGTTGATGCAGAATAAGCCCCCCAGATAGTATTATGATTAAACACATAGAGTAAGTTCCCTAAGGAATAAGCCTTTCTAATTCTATAATTCATTGAACATCCCATGCTAAGATACTGAGAAGGCATATGAACATGCAGGTGATGCAGTCATTGATGAACTATAATTTACTCTAGCAATTAGAATTTTCTTTTCCTCCTGGACAAAAAGCTTGACTGCTTTTCCAAGCCTCCTTTGCAAGAAGCCATGCCATGTGATTAAATTCTGGCCAGTGGAACTCAGTCTGACATGATGCATGCTCCTTCCAGCCTGGCTAATAACAGCTCCTCAAGTGTGAGTCTCTACCTGTTTTTTCTTTTATCTTCCAGCTGCTGGAAATATCCTAGGAGATGCTGGAGCCACCAAATGTTTTCAACTTTATCTTCAACCTTATCTTTCAAACCAGGTAACTGTATCATTGAGCCTTTGCAGGGTCTGTGGCTGAAACTTTGTGAAATTCAAATTAGCATCCTCTGCTAATGCAGGTGATTTAGAGTTCGGTTTTCTCCCTCCTAAGTCTCACACTCCTGACACTTCCATATGTTTTCTGTCTTCCCTAAATATGTTGACATTGACCTCTGATCTTATCTTCCCTTCTTTTGTCCTTTCAAATACTTTTAATGTGCTTCTGGAAGCAGTTTTCAGGAGGGACAGAGTCAAATGGATACAATCCATACTTAAACAGCAGACCTGTTGGTTGAATCATTTTCAGAATCAACAGTAGAAATTCAATACTTAAAGTAAGCTTAAAGATAGTGACTTTTTCTTTTTTGTTATCATTTAGATTTTTAGGGACAAATTACACATGTGTAATTCATCTGCTTTCAGTAAACTGAATAATTAATTGAGTAGGAAATTAAGAATACACAATGCCTTGGAAAAGGATGATGAGACCTCCTCTCCAGTTCTGACCCAGGAGCAGGAGATGTGTTGCTCACTTTCAACTTCAGTTGACTCATGGCTGAGCCAGGCTCAAGAAGGTAGCGTGTGCCCTGGCAAGACGCATAGAAAGAACAGAAGATCAGGTTCACCACAGAATTAGATGAAGTACAGGTTCTTTCATACTTGTGGTGCTCCAGATCTGTCTAATGTTCACCTGTAATTTTGCCCGTTAGAATGAAATTCTTATCACCGAAGTGATAACTCCCTAAAGAAGTTACTGAAACAGTGTTCACATATGTTCTTAAAATTTGTTTCACTTCTTTTCCAGTGATTAGATCGAAAGAAGATGCCATGTCCAAGAGAATATACCCTATTTATGTTCTAAGAGGAGACAGCAAACACTGGATTTCTGGCTGTTTGAGAAATTTCGCTGTAACCAAAATGACCATTAGAGGGAGCCCAGATCTTGTGAGACCATGAAACTCTGGAGCTGTAAGAACCGTCTACAAGAGCAGCAGAGTAGAACCTCAGTTTTAAATTTTATTAATGACAAAAATATCATGTCTGGGACACTTTATTTTTATTTCCAGAGAGGTCATGAGAAATTCATAATTTTTAAGGGTTCTTAGGAAACAAGTAGTCAAATTTAATATCGTTACTAATAATGATAATGTAGTTATGACGCTTTTGATATTAGTCACAACTAGTAAAGTATTTACTACTAGCACCTTGTTGTTAGTGATAACACCAGTCATCTATTGCTAGGATATCACAAAGGTATGTGTAACAGGTTGTGTCTGGAAACACCAGGAGAATTTAACATGCTTAGGATGTGTGCTGCTGCCCAGAGAAGGTCCCAAAAATCTGAGCCATCCAGGTGCCATAGCCTTCCCTCCCAGCGCTGTTGCTGGTTCTGAGGAGGATGATGACGGGGATTTCCCTGATTTTGCATAGTCAGTCTTGTCTTGAGAGGAAATAGTGTTCCAGAGTTTGAATATTTACACTTAGGTGAATGAGCAAGCAACAGGAAGACGAGGTTGGTACAGGGAAGGTGTCGAGAAGCTGGGAGAGTCTAAAGCTTGTAGGACTGGCTCAGCACACTGAAACTAGTGCGTTGTGCTGTATTATGTTCTGCATATTCCCCCTCCCCCGCCACTTCTTTTGATGTATGGATAAGATGTGTTGTAGTGGTGATATGTGTTAATCCATGTAATTTCCTTTTTCCTGGTCCAGAGTGCTAGTTGGAGGTGGGCCAAGAAGTATTCCTGCTTCTCAGTAATGAAGCTGAGTGTTTGTCCTGACTCTCTGTGTCTTGGCTTTCCGTCCTGGGGACAGGAGGGTGGAGAATGTAATATCCTCCTTCCTTAGTAAGATCCAAGGCCACGTGGGCTCTTGCTCTCTGGTGGTCAGTTTGATGGCCCACTGCTCCCCAGCTGGCTTGGCTGGTATTCCATCTGGGGTGGACTTGCACTTCTGCTTTGTCATATTCCAGATGAAACTTTGTAGAGAGAGGAGGATTTCACTGGCAAAAGTGTCTATATTGGCAATTAAGGATACTTTTTAAAAATGAATACCAAAAAGTTGAAAGATTTTTCAGATATTGGGCATACTATCAGTGACATTGTTAAAGGTAGGAAAGACAAGAGAAGGCCGAGAGGAATGCTTAAAAAATACCTATTTAAGCTCTTACTCACCTATCTTTCCTCAAAATCTTACTACACTTACTGTTCTGTTTCTCTCTTCCAGTGCACCTTGGTTTTCATTGAACAATAGTTCAATGTATGTACTTTACAAGTCCAAAGAAAGTATAAGATATTGATAAATGAGCACTAATTCTATTCTTTCTTGAATTCTCCTTGACATTGAGCATAGAACTAGAAGCTTATAGGGGACTTCACAAGTCCTTTCTCTTCAATTTAGTGAATCAGTAGGTGTCTGCCCACATGAACTATGCCTTTCTTACGGCCCTGGATCACTAGAAGAGGAAAAAGGTGAAGCTCACAATGAAAACTACTCACAGTTGTCTTTAGATAGATCCATTTTCAGGTCTTGAACACAAAACGAAATGAAATGAAATGAAATGAAACAAAATAAAACAACAAACCACACAAAACAAGGTTAAATCTCCCAGAATCACAAGAGTCTTGAGGCCCAGCAGTCATCCCCTTATTTCTGAGTGACAGAACCTACCTAGCAAGTTGGTTATAAGAGCTCTTTGGTTCAGTTTTCCCATATGTGTAATGGGGTTAATAGCACCTGGCTCCTACTTCCTCTACCGAAACATGGGGAAGGAATGTTGTAACATCCTTGCAGTCTTCAGATGAAAGCTACCATATAAGCACCCACTGTTATTAAATGCCCTTGACCTTTGGGTGATCGTGAAGACTTCATGGCTTATGGTGTTCACGGATAAAGACTGAGATTGTACCCAAGGATTTTCTGACACTGGGAGCTAGGAGAAGCCCATGAGGATCAGGATCTATTCTTGAAACAGAGACTTAAATTCAGCAGTGGTTCCAGAGAAAACTTTAAAATGCTTTGCCAAATTTAAAACAAATGTACAAACTAATTTACTTCTGTTAATAAATAAAAATAGTACAAAGTTTTCATAATAAGAAGCCATGGGGCTGGGAGCATAGCTCAGTGGCCCAACACCCACTTAGCAAGTGTAAGGTCATAAGTTCAATTCCCAGTATCAAAAACAAAACAAAACCATGATCTCTTATAGCACCCTATCGTAATTTCTGTCCTTTCTCCAAGGACACCCATTTCTTATCTTTTTATTCTTTCTTTGGATATTAATTCCCATATCTCTAAATATTATGTTTGTATTTCTAGTTTGACTGATGAGTTTAAGATATTAGCTGTTGAATTTCTGCCACTGAACTATTGTTTAACCAGCCTACACTCCCACTCCTTCAACTATTTAATTTATTGCTCTTTGTCAGTTTCCTTTGAAACTTTAAGTTATAAGTTTAAATACTATATTCCTTATTCAACACGAGAAGGCCTTGTGTCATCCTCTGCCTTGTGGGATGGAGCGTGCGTGTCCCTGCTGTGCCTTTCAGCTCTTTTTCCTGCTTCTACATCCAGACTGTCATCACTTAAACTTCTGCATTGTCAAGACTGGTAAAGTTTACATTTTGTTTTGAAAGTATAACTGCCTTCTGTGCTTTGCTTATGGGATTAGTCTAAAAATGAAGATTATTTTAACTAGGACAGAGCCAGGTTTTGAATTGTCATTATATTTTCTGTCTTGTAAAGCTTTCACTCCCTTTTGTTCTGGAATTGTTTGCTTGTGTCACACACTAATTCATTTTTGAAGACTTGGTCAAAACTCTTGATGGTTCTTAGGGTGCCAGACTATCATTATTCTCAAACTTTCTCTCTGCTTTAAAAGTTTGAAGGCTGTATCTTCCTTGTGCTTGGTTTATTCCTTTGTTTTATTGGCCATAGCCTCAACAGCTCACAAAAATTCAGATGAAAAACTAATTCTGAATTTTGAATGCTCGGAAAAATTTTTATCATGTGTTTAACTTATGTAATGATTTGGGTCGAGAATTCATAATTGTACATCTTTTTTTCTTTGACTGCTGAAGATATCCAATTGTCTTCCAGCTTTCAGTGTTTCTGTGAGAAGTCTAGAGCTTGAAGAAGTCTGTATGATTCTTGTTCCTTTGTGAGTCACTTTTAGGTCTTTCATTTTCTTTATTGTTTTGATTTTACAATCATGTATTTAGATGAGGGTTTGTTACATTACGCTGCAAATTTAATGGACTCTTTTTGATTTAGAAATGCATATTTTTGATGCCTCGCAAATTGTTTCATTTATTTTCTTTGATAATTTTATTTCTTTTGTATTTCTGAAATGTTTTTTTAATTCTTAGTAATTATTTTGTGTGGATCATGTCCCCTCAAAATCCGTGTGTTGGAGGCCTAATCCCCAATACTTCAAAATATGGTGATTAAGTTAAAATCAAGCTATTATGATGAAACCTAATAAAATCTGATTGATGCTCTGATAAGAAGAAGAAATTTGTATACATGAAGAGAGACCCCAGAAATGGACAGCTATTGTGAAGATAACAAGATATACTAAGGTAGCTATTGTTGTTTTCCTAGTATCCTGCTTTGAAGTCCTGTACCAGTTTTGCTGTTTAGTTTTTGATTGTTTTTGTTCTGTTTTGTTTTGTTGGATTTTACTATCTTTAAAATAAAAAGAGAGAGATGCCAGATATGTATATATAGAAAAGTGACCCATGAGGACATAGCAAGAAGGTGCTCATCAAAGAAAGGGGCCTCAAGAGAAGCCAAACCTGCCAACGCCTTGATCTAGGACTTTCAGACTGATGAGAAAATGACTTTATATTGCCTAAGTCGTCCAGTCTGCAATATTTTGGTATTTCTGCCCTAGCAAACTGATACCTTGGTCAAGCCCAACAACAAATATGCAAATAAAGAAGCTCAAATTGGCAACTTTTAATAAGGAAAACTGATTAACTATTAAGATTGGAAGAGCCAGCTTTGAACACTGCTAAATGACCAAGCAATATCACAAGATGGGTTTTCTTTCCATTTCTCAGAGCTGTGCTGTACTGTGTTGTCTTTATTCACAGGCTCAGTCATAGGGTCACATGTTCTGGGTTTAAACCCAGTAGAAAAGTGTCCTTTCTTTTTTTAGCAGCTTCAGGAAAGAAAATTCTTTGTTTTTCACTGACCACATTTGAAATATCTTCTGAGTCAATTACTGAGTTAGAAAAATGTACTCTGATAATCTAGCCCAGCATCATGTACCCGCTTTTTCATCTGAGAGTGTCAGTATCAGCCAGACTACATGGGATGAGAACGGGATGGGATGATACAATGGGAAGAACAGGAGGAACTAAAGCAGCAAAGGTTAACACACTAGGTTAAAGACTGAGTTTTGATTTTAAATATCTATGGTAATAGGAGCACAGTTGCATTCAATTAATTTAAATCTAGTAATTTAATAGTGGAGAATAGAAAAAAGCAGTATGAACTTAAGTTAGTATTTCGTTAGCATCTATTATGTATCTTAGATATCAGAGAGGATAAGGACCAATCACATTAAAAACAAATCTCAAGTGAAGGTGTTTAAGGTTAGTGATTGCTGTAGTTTCAAGTAGATTATCCAAGTAGATTATCACATAACACTTGCCCATGACCTGTACTTTTGTTGTGAGAGGGTGAATTAGGCCCAACTTAGTACTATTATTATTAGTAATTATTATCATTACTTATTATTATTATTATTTATTGGGGGTTGAATCCAGGACTTCAAGCATGACTCTACCACTGAAGGTTCAATATGTTAACCAAGACTCTGAGGCTCCATGACAGCAATTTGGGATGACAAACATATTTCAGAGAATTGTTCATCAAGAATTATGATATTTAAATGTATTTTATTTTAAAACCCTCTGTCGCGAGTAGATGTGCCTTTCTTTGGTTGAGCCTCTCCAAGCTGATTTTAGGAAGAGAAAGTAGGACA